AACTGAAAATTTCTAATTTTTTCTAAGTTCAAGGAGGATAACTCAAAACAAAATTAGATTTTGACTTGTATTTTCGGGTTAAATACCTGCACATGCAATTTCAACCTTATACATATAAAAGTAAGATAGCGGGAACGTTCAAGAGGAATAACATTTTCTAAAATCATCAAACCATGATCAAATTCAAACTTGACCTGCTTATTCACATGATGTATCTATTAGTCAAAGAGTTGAATGTGCACAACTATTGGGGAGATAATAAACGGAAACTGAAAATAAACGGAAACTGAAAATTTCTTATTTTTTTAAGTTAAAGGGGCATTGCTCTACTAAAAATCATCGAACCATGACCAAATTCAAACTTGACCTGCATATTCCAATGACATATCCATTTGTTAAATTTGAGACGAAATCAAGAATGTGTACAACTGTTGGGAAGATAATGAAAGGAAACTGAATCCTTCAGTTAAAGGGGCATAACTCTGCCAAAAATCATTGAACCATGACCAAATTCGAAATTTACCTGAGCATTTCTTTAATGTATCCATATGGCAAACTTTTTGTTGAATGTGTACAACTGTTGGGAAGATAATGAATGGAAACTGAAAATTTCTTCAAGTGGCATGACCAAATTAGAACTTGACCAGCATATTCCTATGATGTATCCATATGTCAAACTTGAGTTGAATGTGTGCAACTCTTACCAAGATAATGAACAGAAACTGATGATGACAGAATGACAGCATGGCAAAATGACGAAACAGGGTATTACTATATGCCGCGGCCACTTGCTAAATAAAACAGCCTGTATTAAGGGGTAAACTGATTGGGAAAAAAAGCTACTGTTTTGGTAATTGACATCGACAATTTTCAACAAGAGGGCCATAATGGCCCTGAAGTCGCTCACCTGTATATAGGCCCCCGGAGTGGGGCAAGTTTGAACCCCAGGGCTTTTATTTGAACAAACTTGGAAGACACCTATTAGACACCTATAAGGTCTATCTTGTTGGGTTTTTTAAAAGAAGATTTTTTAAGTTTTTCTTTACACATATAGTTAAAAACAATGACACCCATGGGGCAGGGCCAGTTTTGACCCCAGGGCTATTATTTGAACAATCTTTGTAGACACTTACTAGAAAATGTTTCATGCTTAATATCTAAACTCTGAGTGTAGGACAAAAGCCCCCCCCCCCCTCCTACTAAAATGACAAGGTGGACAAAATCCCCCCCCATGAAATTTACACATAGGACAAAAGCCCCCCCCCCCATTAAAATACAGGTAGGACAAAAGCCCCCCCCCCCAGTTCAGCAAACAAAAGCCTCCCTAAGGTTTATAGACCAGACTCATAACTATCTTTTTCTCACATGCCCAGTGTTAGGGAACTTTGGTTATACTTCAAATAAATCTAGACAAGTATGCTCCTTCCACTTTTATTTCCTTGATAAGCTTTGATAAATAAATCCCCTAAACTCTAGCTATTTAGGTTTTTTCGAAGAAGATTTTTAAGTTTTTGCTATACACATATAAGGAAAATCAATGACATCCGGGGCGGGGCCAATTTTGACCCCAGGGCTCTTATTTGAACAAACTAGGTAGACATCCATTAGAACATGTTTCATGCTAAATATCTTAGCTCTAGCTCTTTGGGTTCTTTAAAAGTAGATTTTTAAGATTTTTAAGATTTTTGGAAGACACTGACATTTTGGAGGTTTTACAATCTCAATTATAATATTCCTTTACACCTTTTTTTCGATTTCCGGATTTGGGAAGTAAATTTTAATTGATATAACCTAAATTTTACCGAAAAATTCAGAATTCAGAATTTAGAAGTTCCAGATTCAGGGGTATTTATTATATAGAAAACAGAAGGGGAATTTCGGGACCCTGAAAAATGTTCGGATTTTAGAAGTTCCAGCATTCAGAAGTTACACTGTAGGGCAAATCAATGACCCCCTGGGGCGGGGCCAATTTTGACCCCAGGGCTTTTATTTGAACAAACTTGGTAGACAGTCACTAGAAGATGTTTCATGCCAAATATCTAAGCTCTAGCTCTTTGGGTTTTTAGAAGAAGATATATGAAGTTTTTTCTTTTGGTTGCCATGGCAACCAGAGTTCTGCATGGAATTAAATTCTTTGAACAATTTTCAAAGGTAACCACCAAAGGAACATTCCTGTGAAGTTTGGATGAAATTGGCTTAGTGGTTTATGAGGAGATGTCATTAAAAGTAAAAGTTTATGGACGCCGGACGAAAAGCGATCACAAAAGCTCACCCTGTCACTTTGTGACAGGTGAGCTAAAAATGCTTAGAGGTGAGCACTTTGTGCTCTGATGACCTTAACAGAGCTGTCACTTTGAAAGGAAATTAAGCCCAATCCACTATTCTCATTGCTTGATAGTATAACAAGAGCCTGGATAATGTATAAAATAACAGAGGAAGATTTTACTCAAATACAGGACATCCTTAAAATATTTGGAAAGTGACCTTCAATTATGATCACATAGACATGTATGGAACTGCAAGAGAAAACCTTGAGAAGGTATATAGATTTTGATTGCAAAACTTAAATGAAGAGTTTCCAAATGTACAAAAAGGGCTGAAATTAAAGTTTTACTATTTATATTGTATGCAAAAATTAAACCAAGAATTTACTATGTTCACAAAGGGCTAAATTGATTAACAATCTATGCCAGTTATAAATCTTGGAAACTGACCTTTGATTATTACTTTAAATACATGCATTAGGTTTCAAATAAATATCTTCAGTAGATTTGAAGGTCAAGTTTGCATGCAAAATTTTAAAAGGAATTTTCTAAGCTTACAAAGGCTCACAAACAATTTAAAATCTGTGCCAGAGTTTTGGGCCTTGAACAGTGGCCTTCAGTTATACTCTCAAAGACATTATAAATTATATAAAGTGTTAAGTAAATAAATATCTTAAGTAGTTTTGAAGAAAGTTGTTGCGCACAAAAACATACATTTACTAGGACTTTTTTTCAAAGTTAAAGGGGCATAACATTCATCAAACCATGACAAAATTCAAACTTGACCTGCGCATTTCTTTGACGTATCCATATGTCAAATTTGAGTTTAATGTGTAATACCAGGCCTCGACATTAGCGGTGGTCCGTTGGTCCGAGACCACTTGATTTTGGCAAGGACCACCTATTTTTAAAACCCACTGGTCCCTCGGACCACTTGAATTTTCTGGTTGATGCAAGGCTCATTTGGGAGAATGGCGATTTGGTCAAAACCATGTTATATAACTTTGTTTAAAATCTATGTCTGATGTACATGTATATGGTTCATTAATCTCCGATTAGGTAAAGAAGTTCTTAAGTCATCAATTACTTTCATTTTAAGTCGGTAAAAGTTTGTTTATGCAAGTTAAAAGAGTTAAGAATTTGTGATATTAATTTAGGTATAAAATTCATTCAAATGGTGCTAGTAATTATGCATCGTCTGATAACTATGGCTGAACCATTAACATTTATGTTATGTTACATGTTAATCAACCGTGAGTATCCGATGATGGTAATTATATGATATTGGATAAACTTAAATTTCAGATTCTTGAATAACGGCAGCAAACGAAAGGAACTGGAAAAATAAATCTAGTAATTCTATGCTATTTATCTTTATTTTAACTGTTTAACGATAAGAGATCTGTTTCTTCTAGAGTTAAAATAATTTTGATAGGTTAAAAATACCCAATATCAAAAATGAATATCAACCAACAAGCAACAAGGAGGTAAAATTCTGTATTATAAATCTGTGAGAAAAATAAGATAAGTTATAGTAAATAATAACGTTGTCATTATTTTAATAATTTAGATATTTCCTTGTTTTCAAAGCGAGAATAAGATAATTTATTAGTTCCATTAAAATGTTAATCTATTAAAATGCTATGTAATTATCATGATTATAAGACGTACCACGTATCAGCAATGAATATTTGAATAACAGTAAGAAAATAACAGACACAAATGGCTTCACTGTTCCCTAACTGGACTTGGGGGAGAAACTTTAATATAAAATTTAACATAAATAAGAGCTCTGCTGTGTATTGTTAACTGAGATAAAAACAAATAAACAACTCTACGATAAAATACCTACTGACTTGCTCTCCTTTTCTGAATAGATGAAAAATATATATCTAAAAATATCTGTTTTCTTTAAAGGTTAATAATACATCTTTGTCATAAAGTATAAACATTTCTTTCTACATTTGCAGTAAAATGATATAATAATGATAACTGACCACCTGACTTCTGGAAGGACCACCTAACTTTCAAATCTAGTGGTCCGGCGTACCACCTGCTAAAAAAGTTAGTGTCGAGGCCTGGTAATACCCTAGAGGAGATAATAAACGGAAACTGAAAATTTCATATTATTTTCAAAGTGAAAGGGCATAACTCTTGCCAAAAAATCATCGAACCATGACCAAATTCCAACTTGACCTGCGCATTCCTTTCACATATCCATATGTCAAATTTGAGTTGAATATGTAACACTGTTGGGGAGATAATGAACAGAAACTGTAAATTTCATATTATTTTCAAAGAGAAAAGGGCATAACTCTGCCAAAAATCATAGAACCATGACCAAATTCTTACTTGACCTGTATTTTCTCATGACATATCCATATGTCAAGTTTGAGTTGAATGTGTTGTACCGTTGGGGAGATAATGAATGGAAACTGAAAATTTCATACTATTTTCAAAGTAAAAGGGGCATAACTCTGCCAAAAATCATCCAACCATGACCAAATTCGAACTTGACCTGTATTTTCTCATGAAATATCCATATGTCAAATTTGAGTTGAATGTGTGCAACTGTTACTAAAATAATGAAGGGAAACTGATGATGACGGAATGACAGAACAGGGTAACACTATATGCCCCGGCCATTATATGGCGGGGGCATAATAAAAATAGATGCATTCTACCTAATAGAAAACCTAATGTGCTAAATAAATGTTCATTGTAAATGAATAATACCTGGTCCTGTGTGTTTCAAAGTAAAGTTTTCATCTTCAAATTTAGAACCATATATAGATTTTCCACCTGTTCCATTATGGTTTGTAAAATCTCCACCTTGGCACATCTGTACTATGGTTAAGGATTCAAATATTGATATTTCATTATCAGTTGGATGTTAATAAGGATTCTAATTTGGTATTTCATTTTGTGGTTGGATCTTAAGTCTAAGCTTTAAATGTGGAGAAGACCTCAATGAATATGCATATTCAGGCATGAATTGGCACCTGAGTAAAGTTCCCATTTACTTCTTGTAAGCTTATTGGTCTCATATAAACTTTATCAAATATTTCAGACATCAATCATCAAGACATGAAAGCATCTTAACATCCTTATGTCAAATACCACATGCATATAATGTATTACATGTAAAAAGAGAACATTTCAAATATGTAATGAATCTGAAAAAAATCCACATTAGCATGGGTTTCAAACTTACAACATCCAACTTACAAATTAATATAACACATCTCCATAGACCTTTGAACCTAAGACTCCTTTGTCTGGCTTTCCAATAGATTCAAAGAATAAGTCAATGATTTGACTAAGAGATATTTATGTCAATCAACCATGTTTTAAACGGGTACTCAAAGGGAGAGCGCTATGATACAGAGGTTAACCTTGAAATGTAAAGTATGGTGTCCATTTCGACACATAACTTTCAAAAATCCTTAACTATTTTAACCTAATTTACCCCCATTTGCATAATATTGTGAAAAATGGCCGTTTTCATTGAAAAGCCTCTTGTTACAAGTTCAAACTGCTATGCAACTATGAAAAATGCTTCAATACTGATGAAACTTGGCACAAATGTTGACTGGACCTTAGCCTCTGTAACAGCATGCTCAATTCTAAATTTCCTGTTACCATGGCAACAGGGAAATGTCTCAAAATTGTTAACAAGAGGGCCATAATGGCCCTGAGGTCGCTCACCTGTATATAGGCCCCCCCAACCCCAACCCCCCAACGTTGCAGGGCCAATTTAACCCAAGGGCTTTTATTTGCACAAACTTGGTAGACACCCATAAGAAGATGTTTCATGCTAAACATCTAAGCTCTAGCTCATTGGGCTTTTTAAAAGAAGATTTTTTTTTAAGTTTTTACTATACACATATAGTTAAAAACAATGACACCCCTGGGGCCGGGCCAGTTTTGACCCCAGGGCTTATTTTTGAACAATCTTTGTAGACACTTACTAGAAGATGTTTCATGCTTAATATCTAGCCTCTAGCTATTTGGGTTTTTTCAAAGAAGATTTTAAGTTTTTGCTATACACATATAAAGAAAATCAATGACCCCCTGGGCGGGGCCAATTTTGACCCCAGAGCTTTTATTTGAACAAACTTGGTAGACACCTATTAGAACATGTTTGATGCTCAATATCTTAGCCATAGCTCTTTGAGTTCTTTGAAACAAGATTTTTTAAGTTTTTACTATATGCATATAGGGAAAATCAATGACCCCCGGGGGGCCAATTTTGACCCCAGGGCTTTTATTTGAACAAACTTGGTAGACACTTATTAGAACATGTTTCATGCTAAATATCTTAGCTCTAACTCTTTTGGTTCTTTAAAAGAAGATTTTTTAAGCTTTTACTATATGCATATAGGGAAAATCAATGACCCCCTGGGGCAGGGCCAATTTTGACCCCAGGGCTTTTATTTGAACAAACTTGGTAGACACCTATTAGAACATGTTTGATGCTCAATATCTTAGCCATAGCTCTTTGAGTTCTTTGAAACAAGATTTTTTAAGTTTTTACTATATGCATATAGGGAAAATCAATGACCCCCCGGGGCAGGGCCAATTTTGACCCCAGGGCTTTTATTTGAACAAACTTGGTAGACACTCATTAGAACATGTTTCATGCTAAATATCTTAGCTCTAGCTCTTTGGGTTCTTTTAAAGAAGATTTTTTAAATTTTTACTATATGCAATATAGGGAAAATCAATGACCCCCCAGGGCGTGGCCAATTTTGACCCCAGGGCTTTTATTTGAACAAACTTGGTAGACACTCACTAGAAGATGTTTCATACCAAATATCTAAGCTCTAGCTCTTATGGTTTTTTAAAATAAGATATTTAAAGTTTTTTCTTTCGGTTGCCATGGCAACCAGAGTTCTGCATGGAATTAAATTCTTTGAACAATTTTTAAAGGTGACCACCAAAGGAACATTCCTGTGAAGTTTGGATGAAATTGGCTTGGTGGTTTATGAGGAGATGTCATATAAAGTAAAAGTTTACGGATGGACGAGGGACGGACGCCGGACGAAAAGCGATCACAAAAGCTCACCCTGTCACTTTGTGACAGGTGAGCTAAAAATCACTATTTTACATTGTTTTTTCCATCAAAACTGATTTCAAAGTGCTGCAACTTCAGTGAATTGAGATAGGGTAAAAGGCTTTTCAGCGTCAGTTACTAAGTTACCCTGAGGCCATTTTTAGCCTTTCACATGTCCAAAATTTTCTTGGCGATGAGGGGGACCGCTGCCCCCCTTAAAACCCCCCTCACAGAAGAGGGCAAATCCCCCTTCTGGCAACCCCCTGATGTACCATTTTGATGGTACAATAATCTCGAACAATAAACAGTGTTTGGGGCCTAAATAGGACATTTTTTTACTGTTTAAAGCCTCGAAAAAAGGGGGGATCAGGCAAAAAGCCATCAAAGCATGTCTATATGAGGGAAAAGGTTAATTAACTGTCTAAACATTAACAACATATTTGTTTCAAGTTTATATAAACAGACTGTCTGTCATATTATTTAATTTGTTACCACTGGGGACATCTAACAATACTCTCCCTTCCTCAGAAAATATTTCAAATTTACTCAAATGAGGACAGAGATCTCACTTTCAGCTTTTGTCTCTGAAATTATAATAACAAAAACGTCCTAGAGCATATTTGTTACACCATTTCTAAATGAAAATGAAAAAAAAAATCTACTTTATGTAAATTGAAGGCTTTTTTGACCTCAGTAGAATTTTTCAAGCAGGCAATAACATCTCAGCAGACGACCTTCACTTGTCAAAACATGAAATTATCATTTTTATTGCTTAATATTGGGTAAAATATAGAAATATTTTCAACACAAGGCAGAAAGCTGTGGATTTTCATATCATTGAAAGACACTTACTAGAAAACAAAAAAATTCTAATAACTTCCACTCCAATACAAAAAGCAACACTTCCAGTTTCGCTTTAATGGACCTTTCCGGTATTTCGTAGCAGAACATTTAGCCACACATTTTCCATTTATTGCTAGGTCAACTGCTCACAAACAGTATCACAAACATAACCATGTGTTCTTTTGTGCAAACCAGGTCAACCAGTGACTATGTATTATCCCAGTGTAGCAACTGGATAACAAGTTAGCCAATTTACATAAAACTGTAAACACTGGAAAGGTCCGTGTCAGAAACAGTTGATAGGTGGCCCTACAGTGCAAAATAAAACATTTTCAAATTAGATTATAATGGGCAAAGATGCGGTACCCACCAGGGAGTACAAGATTAAATCTGACTCAAAGCAGTTTTATCAAGTAGTGAAATATACATATTGGACTTTTCATAGAGATTCTTTGGGCGATTAGAATTTCCAATCAATATAGGGCAAAGTGAAAATATTTTTGGTGACTTTGCCCTAAATAAAATGCAGTTATTACACTTCTCGCCTAAATAACCCCGTTCTTAAAAATATGTTTATACTATGGTTTCAGCAATCATTTTATGCACACAAAAAGCGTCATTTTTTTTCTTCAAATTTTCAAAACTTTCTTAGTGTAAGGGAGGTAATCAAAATACTATAAATCACAGCAAAGTCACATATCTATGGTATGACTGGTGATTTGTGAATAAAAACAATCATAAATCATTAGAGGTGCTAGCTTACTCTCTGATATACATATAATTGGTTAGGGGAGCTCCTATCTGATCAGACTGATGTAATGACAACAGAATCTCAATCTAGATGTTGGAAGTTTACAACATAAGTTGTCAAACCATACAGAGATTTCTTTCAGTATGACAAGCATGGTGTAGGTTGGGGCATTTTTTCTTTTTTTTCTTTTGCCAGAGGGTGTGGGCAGTTGCCTTTTTTGGATTGTTTAGTACAAAAACAATAACTTCAATTCCTGCCAATAGCTTCCTGTATGTTAACAAGATCATAAATTTACAAATGATTGTAACAAGAGCTGTCAGTAGGACAGGGTGCATGACTGTTCTCAGTGCATAAGAGTAAAAAATGTAAAAAAATTTAAGTTGAAGAAGAACTGTCGTTGAAACTGACAAATGCCACCAAACAGGGCCCAGTAGAGGAACCATGACCCTTGATTGCATAAAAAGCATAGTTACTATAAAGAGAGTGTAATAAGAATATAGAACATTACCAAATAGTTTCTCATATTCTTGGTGAGTCGAATTATTTCAAAAAGCATCAATGAACGAATGACAGAGATATGACCAGACACAACTTTTAATGTACTACTTTGACATTCAAGTATAACCTTCACCTTTTAAACAGTTGACCTGGTGTTTGTGTGTGACAAGTTTTCCCTTATGTGGCACAGAATTATGCCTAGTTATTTCAAAATCCATTCATGGATAACAAAATTGATAAATGGTTATAACACTCAATGTACTTTTATGAAACTTTTAACCTTAGAAGTTCTAGTGTGACATTGATCCTTAAGCTTCAAAATCATCACAATTGTTTTAGATAACCATATATTTAAGCCAAATTATTACAAAATCTGTCAATGAATGCCAAAAATACATGGACTGGACATGACTTTCAATTCACAATCATATCATGAACTTTTTAACACTCAAGTATGAACTTGACCATTTTTATGAAAAAATTCAGATCATGAATTTGGCATGTAAGTGTTAACTTGAATGTTGAGATAGGGAACCTGATTCATGTACATGGCACATAGTGATTATGTCACACACATTTATGCATTATAATTTTCTAATCCATCCACGAATAACAGAATTGTTGAACAGACACAAACATCAGTGTACTTTTATAATAATTCACATCATTAATTTTGATCTACCACTGTGACTTGACGTTCGAGCTAGGGACCTGATTCATGTGCAAAATACATCATCATTAAGTCCAACACATTTATGCATATTAATTGATTTTTAAATCCATCAAGGAATGAAAGAATTTTTGACTGGACAAAGTTAGTACAAACAGACAGACAGATGTTACAAAACTTTGTTTTCTTATGGAGATCTAAAATTGCACACATAAACTTAATCATAGTGTGAGGGCCATGCAGATGCCTGGGTGAGTACAAATGCTCTCCCTATTCTTCATATAGTCGTACTACAAAGGATACAAATGAAGGTATAACTCTGTGGAATGAACTGCCTTTGTAACCAAACCCTTTCTCATGTGTACATAAACATCTGAAATTTTCTGAAAATATATAACATTGAAAACAATCATATACATTTTAAGATCATGAAAATAAAGGGTCATTTTGCTATTCATACAAAGATCAAATAAGAATCAATTTCATCTAAGGAATCAATGTTATCTAAGAAACCACAAAATCTTGTCAAATGGCAAATTCCATATAAATATTACACTTATTATAGAAAAAGAGAAAGTTGATCTATTGAATTTATATTGATTTGATATTATTGATTATATTATAATAAGCACAATGCCAAGTCATATGGCCACATGCTAGCTTTCCTGGTACTGGAAGATCTCATGTGTGCCCCTCAGTGCATCCTTTCCGGCACAAGTGGGTACCTCTGTACAATTATCAACCTTTCTTAATCTAGCTGGATATCTTCATAACATAAAAAAATCCAATGTACCAAGTGGGATTCAAACCCATAGTGTTGATTGGGCAGTGGTTCAAAGTCAGAGACCTTAGCCAATTATCCAACAATACCGTAGACAAATATTTTGAAGCTATATTTGCTTCCTCATAAAAGAAAAAGGTTTTTCGATAATAAAGAAATACCTGCAGTTTTTGGCACAACATCTGGTCTCAACTGTATAACAATTCTTCCTGATTGTTTGTTTCCTATTTTTATATCAAAGAACACTTGTGAACTTGTCCGAGATCTTTTACCTGCTGGCTCATCATCCTATAATACAAACACATCATCTCGTAAAACTTACTCTACGCCTGCTAAGGGTGATCTATATAGCATTGTAAAACAGCTTGGTTCCTGGTCAAACACTGACTCTTTTTGGTTTCTGGCCTGGTTAAAAACAATTTGATATTTACGCAATATTTAAATTCAATTAATTTGGATAAAACATACAGATAAGACTGAACAAAACTTTATGGAAAGAAAAGAAACAAACATTAATTTTTTTTTCAACACCTGAAATATGTAGGAGATCAAGTACAATTTAAGCAAAATATTCGAAAACAGTATGAAAACAATCCATTTAAAATTTGATAAAATTATTTTGATATACAGTGAATAATAATAAAGGAATATCTAGCAATTGTTAAGAGATACAAAACACTGAATGAAAGCATAATTCTGAAATTTTTCCCTTTTTTTTGTTCGGGTCCATTTACCAGACTCTTTCAAGAAGCAAATAATTTTTTTTTTAACTCTGCCTATATAAAAACTCCCAAATTTTAGGCTGACGATTTTTTTAGGGAGAAAAAACATAACTAATCGCCATGGGAAAGTAGATGGATACCAACTATTTAGCAAAGTATTGTAAAAAGGCCCTGAAAAGGAATGTAATCATTGGTCTCTAATTTACAGTTAATCTATAGATGAATAAAGATAATTGAAACAACAAATTTGATATTGTGTTCATTCCCAATTTTGGCATCACATCAAGCATTTTTTCTGACTGACCCAGGCCCTTCCCTAAGTTGTAAAGAAGTCACTATAGTTGTCTAATTAGTATGTACAAATATTTGTGTATCCAAATATACCTGTATATATAAGAGAACACTTACAGTATCTGTTTGTGCCTGTCGTTTTGTTGGGGATTGTGAGGTGTTTTCCTTGTCATCACTAGCTACAGTCTCCCCAGCATGCTCTTGTAACCATGTATCTTCAGACCACACTAAAATAATCAAAATATAAGACATCAATTTTGTACAAACATGACCAGAAATACTCATTTACTTTCCAAACATTACAAAGATCATAATGTTAAGATGTTTATGAAATTCATTTCCTGTTTTAATATAACTGTTTTAGAGATTAGTAATCCCACAAAAAGCATCAAAGCATGCATAAATACAGCAAGCTAAAGGATGAGTCATCTCACCTGCTTTAGCATGACCTTCCTTCACTTTCATAGGTTTTGCAAGATTGCATCTGATTGTTTTACCGAACAACTCGGAATCATTCTGAAAATTAAATTGAAAGCATTTTCCAAATAATGATTTGAAGGTTTAAAGAATGTTTACAGCTTAGCATTTTCCAAATAATGATTTACAAGTTTACAGAATGTTTACAGCTTAACATTTTCCCAATAATGATTTGGAGGTTTATAGAATGTTTACAGCATAGCATTTTGCAAATAATGATTTACAAATTTACAGAATGTTTACAGCTTATCATTTTACCAATCATGAATAACAAGTTTACAGAATGTTTACATCTTATCTTAAAAGTCAATAGCTATTCATATCGATGAGATCCTTGTAGAATATGTGGAGAAACATTCACACACATAAAAATTCATTGATGGTTAAAAGATAGTATCTTAAAACAGCATCATAATGACCAATATACTTCCAAGTGATCTACCAAAATGTTAGGCATTCAATGACTCTGACCTTAACCAAAATCTCTTAGATTTATTATTCATAATTTATTTATTTATTTATTATCTTGACATAATTATAATGATAAATTTAGGTTACGATTTCTCTGCTGATATAATTGCTATATTAAGTGTATTTAGTTATCTTACCAGGTTATCTATTGCAGCTGCAGCATCCTGGAAAAGAAACAATAACAAAAAGTTAATGCACCACAATTTGTTTTGTTTGTTTGGTTCTACAGGACACCAACACAATTTTCGTCATAATTATGGCACCAAAACAGGAAGATAATTTTGGTTCATCATGTGTGTTACAAACTTAAAACAACACAAGGTGTCAAAATTACCTCACCTGCTTGGACTAAGAGATGCAAAGACTCCAGGAATTCAAACCGATTTAGTTGCCTCTTATGGTTAAGCAGGGATTAACGGTTAACAAATGAGCCGTGCCATGACAAGACCAACGTAAGGTGTTTGCGACCAGCATGGATCCAGACCAGCCTGCGCTACCGCGCAGTCTGATCAGGATCCATGCTGTTCGCTATCAGTTTCTCTACTTGTAATAGGGTTGGTAAGCGAACAGCATGGATCCTGATCAGACTGCACTGATGCGCAGGCTGGTCTGGATCCATGCTGGTCTCAAACCCATTATGTTGGTTTTGTCATGGCACTGCTAAAATATTATAACCATATGTTCATGTTTTGAGGTTACTAGGTATCAAAGTAGGTCTAGGACATTCCAAACATAAAGCACAGTAAGGTTTACATTGATCTAGTTCATTTCTTATAAGCATGAAATCGGAACTTAGTAGATTTAAACAGATAACAAGTGATATATATACCTCTGCTAGTTCAAACTCTATAAATGCAAATCCTCTGTGTTTCTCTGCAAAAAAAACACACAAAAGAATACAAAAAAGAAATGCTTGCCTTTGCTAATCTCGAACACATTTCACTCAATTTTTTATTTATTTCTATAAGAAAACCTTATGCTAAAATCATCCTTCTCACTATTACACATTTGATTTATTTAATTTAAGATAAAGCATTATTCTGAATGCTTACTGCTAAACATAACCAAAAATATCATGCTTGGTTTAAACATATTTTATTCGATATATTTACTATAATACATTATAATGAACAATATATACACAATACATATGGGATTGGGCAGAAAGCTATGAAAGCTTATGAGTGTCCTGTCCCAGTTTAAACAGTTTACATATATACAGTTCATGGCATTATCATGCACAATGTTCATTTAGTTGAAAATATATCAAAGATATTTTCAAAAAAAAGGTATTTTGCAACAAATACTAAACCAAATGGTCAGGAAAAAAAAATGCAAAAGAAAATATCATTCTTGTAAGTTTGAAACATTCTTCTGAATGCAAAAAATGACAATACAGACCTGTCTCATAATCCAGTGGGACATTTATGTCTGTCACATCACCAAATGGAATAAATGCAGCATGCAGAATTTTCTCATCTACTTCCTCTGACAGTCCACCTGAAGTAAATATTAAAACAGTTAATATCATAATAATAAAATCAGTAAAATTTTGCAATCAAATGGTTTAAGAATAACAAACATTATAGAATAAATAAATGTTTGTTGTAGTATTTCAATGCATAACTACCGGCGGCACGAAATACCCAAATATACTCAAATACACCCAAATATAGCAATATTCATTTTTGTTTGTATAAAATACTGATTATACTCAATTATACTGTGAAAATGAATTAATATTAATAGAATAATATAACTTAGTCAGCTATATCTTTCATTCATTCTGTTAAAATGGGCAGTTCAGATGTTGTAAGAAAATAAACTTGTGACATTTGCTTATGGTCTAGTTTCTTCACTGAATATACTTGCAAATTAAAATGAAGATATGATATATTTGTTGTCTACATTTAAATTTCTATGGTATAATTTTGTTGAAATTTCATGCAAGTGTGGATCTTTTTATATTTTTTAGAAAATTTAATATAGCTTTAATGGAGTGTACTCACTAGTACTGTATTTGAGTATATTTTGGTTAAAAACATAAGATAGAAAAATGTATATTTGGGTATGTTTGATCGATCTTAGTGAAAGTGTATATTGTAATTCATAATTAAAACAGCAACTTTTTAGTATTAAACATTTATTTTTAGTATATTTGAGTAATATTTGGGCAATATTTGGGTATATTGTAAAGAGATACAAAAATCTTGGAAAACCAATGTCTTTATTTCTAGCAAATACAAAGAAATTATTTATGAAACTTTTTTGACAACATGTTGTTATGATGATGACATGGAAATGGAGAGAATCATCCCTGAACTGCAGCAAATTTGTTAACAGATCTATTATTGAAAACACAACAGATAAATTGGCCAACTTCTGAAGAAAGAAACAAGTGAACTAACTTCATCCTTCACAGTATTCAATCATTTTTTCATTGTTAATCAGACAAAGAATATATATAACATAATAAGTTGTGACTACTTTGTAGCAGCTACTGTACTGTATAGCAACTTGCAGGCAACACAAAAATCATTAACAGGCAAATACTCCATTTTTATTCAAGGGCTATAACTCAGTAAAGATTATTCAACCAGAGAAACTTTAAAAATAAGAATCATTAAAGGAACATAACTCTGACAAAAATCATGGAACTGGAAAATGCTGACAAAATGCAAAATTAGACTTAGAACTGATCATTCCTGTAAATGTTCCGATAAAATTGTAATTTTTAGTAGTCCCGACAGACAGACATACAACGGAGAACGCTCTGTTTTTATTAAAAATTCCATGGTGAATTTTCAAAACATTATTTTAAAATGTTTAAAGCACTGAAGGACCGCAAAAATCTTAAGCCAGTTGGCTGGTATTTCACTTCTTCCTTCTTCCAATATACTGGCCACCTGCAACTAACTGAAGTTTACTTATTTCAAACCATTTACTATGGGAAAATAAGAAATCCTTTCACAGAGATCAACATGACAAAATGGCAGTTCGTGCACCTGACTGGTTGAAAAGAAAAAGCCACACTAATCTCTTAGTTGCTTCTCCAATTATACAGCTTCACATCAACTTGACATTTTAATAATCAGGTCTAGGATTTCATGATATTTATGGACTGTCCATAAATTTATAGACAGTCAAGAAATTTAAAGATTTTTCAATCCATAAAATTACAGATATTCAATGTGAAATTTGCTGATTTTAGTTTTACAATAAAATCCGCAGCTTAAGACAAGTTGTTTTATTGATTGTTTATATTTACAAAGGTAATGGGGTGAGTTTCATCTTTGTATGATGATTTTGAAATTTTTGTTAAAAGTGAAAATTGAAAGTCATCAAACTGTTCTGAATCTTAGCATACTGTTACATTTAATCATATAATACCTAACCTTATTCATTTTAACCTGCGGTTTTAAATTTTAATGCAACTTCTACTATTTTCTTACTTAATGTCTGTAAATTTACAGATAAGAAAATCTGTAAAATTATGGATTGTCCAAAAATTTACAGACTGTCCGTAAATATCATGAAATCCTAGACCTGATAATACTGTACAGTACTATAGTACAATGAATCTTAATTATTTTGGGAGTGGGTGCTTTGTACGAAATCTGTCTTTCCTGTTTTATTTGAAAACAAGTACATGCGATAGCTTGTTAACATACATATTTCTAGATTTTACAAATATACAGATTTTTGGGTACGAGTCGGCTTGGGGGCGAATCTATAATTCTTTACTTGTTATTGCATGAAATAGCTGGGAAATGAGCATTCTTTTTATCTTTTTTTAATCTTGATCAATGACAGTTATATGAATTATATATTGAACACCATTGTAGGAAATTTCTCTTCTGTATAACTGTTAATTTATCACATTGATATTACCGACATACACCATACGCTTGCTGTTTGACGCCATTTTTGTGTTTCGGATTACATCGGTTAATGGCCATAATACACTAAATATTTGGGGTTGAAAACCACTATACATTACAAGTTTGCTTCTTTAAAAAGAAGCATGCGAGAGGTCTTTTGCAGCTGCGGAAAATTTGTTTAATTCGAAAATATTTGGGGATATTTTTGCATAAAAGGCGCAATAAATGGTTATAAATTACAATTATTTAACAAAATATAATGTATCATATATATATATATTGAATATAATATCATTATGAACGTTTATTTTACACTTCATTTTTTCAATGTTTTGAAAGATTATAATTATGCAAGATAAATTAACTTTTTTCTTGGCGCATTAGAGATAATTTTTCTACAAAGGGAACAATATATGAACTATGTCATCAAACTAAATTTAAAATAAATGCTATTTATTATATACTTATAAATGAAATATTGAGAAATATTGATGAAATAAAATGTGTATTTTCATTTTCCGTATTTTCACTGTAAAAATTTATTTTTCACTGCAGTGAAACATATTTTCCGTATTTTCACTGGTGTCTTGCCGGACTACTTTCATTTAAATTCTGCCAGTACACAAAATTTAAGGGAAAATCTTTCAAATTTTAATATCAAAAAGGTGAAAAATGTATATAATAAACAGAAAATTCAAGTTTTTCTATAAATACATGATTTATTTTCATCTTGTGGCATGAAAATTACCATATTTCACTCGTGGCTACCGCCACTCATGAAATATTTATTTTCATACCACTCAATGAAAATAAATCATGTATTTATAGAAAAAACTTGAATATCCTCTATGTATATTAGAAGTAACTTATCAAAATAAAAGTTTCTTGAAAATTTCAATAAGCAAATTTTCGGTTGATGTTTTTTCTAAGTATATGGAAAATTTCCTCTACATTTTCCAAAACGGGCAAAAAATATGTTAATCAAACGATTTTAAAGTGTATGATGCAAAAATTATTGTTTGGTTTTAAAAAATAAAAAAAGAATACTTCTAAAATGTTTGTGTGAAATAAAAATGGCCTTAGAGCGAGTGGCGCATGCACAAAGTCATTGCTAAACAGATAAAACCCTACTTAAAATAGCAAAATAATAAATAGTTTTTGAAAATTTTATTCTGTTTACGTACATTATTCATGTGTATTAAATAACAGAGACATTCTATGTTACAACTTTTTGAGTAATTTAATAATGGAACGGATAAAATTTTACTGTTGATAAATTTTATAAAAAATATTTCATAAGATATAGATTTATACCCTTTAAGTCCCAGATTTACATAAAATATGTTTATATCATTTGATTGGAATAAACAGTATATAAAGCTGCATGCCTCCAACCACAGTATTTGAAGAAAATCAAATTTGAGTAAATTTTGTGCCATTTGCGCCAAAAAATCTCCGTTGCGTTATTTAGTCATACCGGTTCAAAAGTTAAAGGAGCAGCAAAACTTCGGTATACTGTTTACTCGATCATATAATAGTGCATGGTGATATTGTAGCTATAATGTTCACTATTACTATTTATCGGAACATGAAATAGTAAAACGCTACTCATAAAAAAATACGGTAATCGATTTATACATTTTAAAAGATTAAAACGGAATGAAACATCCACGTAGCGCTAAGTAACGTAAAAAGATATTTTCCGATTTTTCTATGTACCGATTTGTTCACTTCGATTTAAGTTAAGTCGTATTTTTAAGCGGAGCATGCGCATAACAATTTTTGTAGACTGCTCCTAATGATTTAGACTCCGCTTGCAAGCGGCGTCTAGTAGATACAATGTATGCATTTGTCCATACAGCAATGGGGAAAATTTTAGACTTGATTTTGTGTATTTTTTTGTTTTAACAAAAACACAGTGTTTTTAAATTTTCTAATAAAAATAGCTTTTATGATGTACAACATGTCACAGAGCTTTCAGGGATTAGAATAAACGTTTAACTGAAGTGATAGTGCCATATGTTTGAATATCATATTCTTTTTATCATTATCTAATTTTATCTACGTAATAAATAACGTGCCAATGAGCCAGTCTTAGTCGATCGTTCTAAAACTTAACCGTTGTGAGAGCTAGGTGACAACTGAGGCAGTGTCACTTACTTCATTTGCTTCGCCTCTGTTGAAGTTCGACTCCGCCTTAAATTGTCATATTAAATTTGATATTATACTCCATATGCAGAGACATATAAATACTTATTTTAACGTCTCTGCCATATGCTAGCATTTAGTCTTTGTTGACGGGGTAGAAGGGAACCAGGACCATTTTGATCAATATCACTTGTCGAATCATTAAATTACAATTTACAAAGCCTAAACCACGCCCACTATCAGAGAGGCGGTTCTCACTCAACCGTTAAGAACGTACAACAAACCGGTTACGCTATGCACGCCCGTTTAACTCACAACGAGTGAAAAATGTCCATCGGTTAAAATGTTGTGAGCAACTTCCGTTCCTCGTTGTGAGCACCCATCTTTGACGTGTGACACGATAAACAAGGTGACATTTTCATAATTTTTGAAGATTACAGACATTTATGTAAAAATATCGGAATGCAGTTAGCTAGCTATGTGTTTTCCGAGTATGCACATGTATAGATATTGTCTGTTGGTGGACAATTTGATGGAAATACCGTGCGACGCAGTCACTCGGGGTAGCTGGAAAACTGGAGACAACTTCTCTTTGGACCTAATTTAACATTGAAAACGTCGATTCTGGTGACGTTTTGTGCATTCTTACCTAAAACAGATGCCCACAAGTCATCAGCGTAAATTATTATCTGAAAGTCTTCGTAGAAACGAAGATATACTCTATTTTGCTTTAATCCTCGTTGTGAGCACCATAACCTCGTTGTGAGCGAGACAAGCGCAGTGCTTGTCTGGTTTTAATATGTAATTCAAATGGCAAGAATACAATTTTCAATCTACCAAAAGCAATCAAAACGTTTTTGTACAAAATTTTTTCTTTGCAATAGTTCTTCTTTTTCTTTTTAAAAGTTTTTTTTGAAAATTATTCTTCATATTCACAAGTCATCAGATTAACAGAAGAACTAATCAGTGTAGGTAAATCAGGTATTTTATTTCGTATACTCTAGTTTGGCTCGAGTGAACATCACGGGAGTTTATGAATATTTCAACAATTTCACAGTCTGTGTGATACACACATACATGTGTTTATCCTGAGCTGAAGACTGACCAAGTTATGTAAAACAAGAACTATCACGGTAAGTTGACAATGCCCCTGAAGTGGTGCTTTGTCCTTTGATTTATGGACCAGATAGATTATTTGTTTTTGGACAATTAGATCTTCAATGTGAAGGTAATTCAATGTCAAGGTGAAATACATATAGGTCAGTTGGAAGGTCTTGTCCAAAGGGGCATTGTGTCCAAATATGAATTAAATCAACTTACTTATAAAGAAGTGATGACCAATCTTAAAGTCTTTGGATGTTCTAGAAGGTCATTCACGGTACAAGATAAAAAAAATACAGATCAGTTTGAAGATCTTGTCTAAAGGGGTGTTGTTTCAAAATATGAGTAGAAATCCTTTTACTAATAAGGAAGTTTTGACCAATTTTTAAGTATTTGGACAATTTGACCTTCAAGGTGAAGGTCATTCAGGGGTCAAGTTCAAATAAAATAGGGTAGTTGAAAGGCCTTGTCCAAAGATGTGTTGTGCCTAAACATTATGCCAGGACATTATGGCCAATCTTAAATGTTTTTGGACAATTTGACCTTCAAGGTAAATGCCATTCAGGGGTCAAGGTAAAAAAAATACAGGTCCGTAGGAAGGTGCTAAGGGATGTTGTGTTCAAATATGAATCAAATCTGTTTTCTAATAAGGAAGTTAAGGCCAATGTAAAAGTTTTCGGACAGATTGACGGACGTACCAACTTTTGATATTTATGAGGCAAATCAGCTCATAAACACCACCTGGACCAACGTCCATTAGCAAAATTAGCTCAAAAAATAGCTCTTAATTTGAATTTTATGAGTTTTTGTTCTTTATTTAACTACGGAATGAAGCTCATAAATATCATATATTTGCTCGGACTGACAGACGAACAGCTCAAAACTAATATGCCTCCCTTTGGGGTATGCACAACGTCAAGTGCAAAGAAATGCTGCTGTGCAAAAACGTTTTAATTGCTGTGGTATATTGAAAATTATATTTTCACCATCTGAATAACATATTAAAACCATACACGCACCTCGCTTGTCTTGCTCGCAACGAGGTTATGGTGCTCACAACGAGGATTAAAGCAAAAAGGGTATATCTTGGTTTCTATGAAGACTTTCAGATAATAATTTACGCTGATGACTTGTGGGCATCTGTTTTAGGTAAGAATGCACAAAACGTCACCAGAATCGACGTTTTCAATGTTAAATTAGGTCCAAAGAGAAGTTGTCTCCAGTTTTCCAGCTATCCCGAGTGACTGCGTCGCACGGTATTTCCATCAAATTGTCCACCAACAGACAATATCTTTACATGTGCATACTCGGAAAACACATCGCTAGCTAACTGCATTCCGATATTTTTACATAAATGTCTGCAATCTTCAAAAATTATGAAAAAGTCACCTTGTTTATCGTGTCACACGTCAAAGATGGGTGCTCACAACGAGGAACGGAAGTTGCTCACAACATTTTAATCGATGGACATTTTTCACTCGTTGTGAGTTAAACGGGCGTGCTATGGCCTGTAAGGGGAAATCACTGCAGAACAGTTTGTCCTCAAAATCATTCGAACATTATGCAATTCGTACCAATATTTAAATGGGTATATTCTTGGCACATATTGCCTTGAATTTATTTTAAGTATACCAATCATTTCAGTTTTATTTGTTATCTAATTTATTTTGATTCGACCAGACGTTTTAGTCTTTGTCGCAACAGACAAACATTAAAGAATTTCAGACCTGGCATTATTTTGTGAATTTATAGGATTAAGTTCTACCTTTTCACAAAAATATGCACCTTTATTATTAAACAACGAGCACATACCAAGAACATGGAGAAAAAATTGATTTGTGCTTCGGATA